AGTCAAGCAACTGAAGTGCCCATCAACAGATAAATGGATTTTTACAATGTGGTAGAGATACACAACTGAATACTATTTGGTCATAAAAGAGAAGAAAATCTTGTCAATTGTTACAACAAGGTTGAACCTGGAGGACATTATATTAAGTGAAATAAGTCAGGCACAGAGGACAAATACTACATAATCCCACTCATATATGGAACCTAAAAAAGTTGTCTCATAGAAATAGATTGAAATGTTGGTTACCAGAGACTGAGGCTGCCAGGTGGTGGGAGTGGGGTAATGTTGGTCAAAGGACACAAAATTTCAGGTAGCTAGGAGGAATAAGTTCAAGAGATCTATTGTACAACCTGGTGACTGTAGTTATGTTGTATTCTTGACAAATGCTTAAAGAGTAGATTTTAAGTCTTCTCAACACAAAAAAGATAACTAAGACCAGTACCATGGCTCACACCAGTAATCACAGCACTTTTGGAGACCAAGGCGAGGAGGAGTGCTTGAGCCCAGGAGTTTGAGACCAGCCTGGGCAACATGGTGAAACCTCATCTCTGCAGAAGGTAAACTAGCTGGGCGTGGTGGTGCATGTCTGTAGTCTCAACTACTCAGGAGGCTGAAGTGGGAGAATGGCTTAAGCCCAAGAGGTCAAGGCTGCTGTGAGCCGTGATAGTGCCACTGTACTCCAGCCTGGGTGAGAGAATGAGACCCTGTCTCAAAGCAAAACAAAACAATGTGAAGTGATGCATATGTTAACGAGCTTGATTTAGTCATTCTGAAGCAGGATATTTCCCTGACCCCTTATTGGATGGGAACTAGAGTAGGCGGGCACTGGCAGGGGCGAACTCCACTCACTTGTGGTTCTACCCCTCGTGGGAGGGGGAGCACAGGTAAGCGGGTGCAGGAGACAGGGTGAGTGGTTTTGGGTGCCAGCAAGAGCGAATTCCACACTGGCCCCATGGCAGCGTCTAGGGGAGGGTGACTATGACCCCTGAAGCCCCTGAGGAAATGTTACAGTGCCCTTTTAGCTTTGCCATCCATGGATAGCTTAAGTGTTAACAGTGCAGTGGAGGGTCAGTGTGACAGCCTTTTGCACCCACACTCATGGCACCCAAGTTTTTGTCTGGCATCCAGGAGGAATGAGGTCACACAAACAAACTGAAGATGGTAAATGCACAGGGGATTTTATTGCAGGTGAAAGTGGCTCTCAGCAGGAAGAGGAGCTGAAAAGGGGATGGAGCAGGAAGGTAATCATCCCCTGAAGTTCAGTGATCCCTGGCCATCCTCTCCAAAGCTACGCTGTCAAGCTGTCCCTCTGAAGTCAGGCTGCTTCTCTCCAACATCCAACCATAGTCTCCAATGTCCAGCTGCTTTTCTTCTGTCTGCCGGCTGAGCCTGGGGTTTTTTTTTTTTTTTTTGAGACGGAGTCTCGCTCTGCCGCCCAGGCTGGAGTGCAGTGGCCGGATCTCAGCTCACTGCAAGCTCCGCCTCCCGGGTTCACGCCATTCTCCTGCCTCAGCCTCCCGAGTAGCTGGGACTACAGGCTCCCGCCACCTCGCCCGGCTAGTTTTTTGTATTTTTTTAGTAGAGACGGGGTTTCACCGTGTCAGTCAGGATGGTCTCGATCTCCTGACCTCGTGATCCGCCCGTCTCGGCCTCCCAAAGTGCTGGGATTACAGGCTTGAGCCACCGAGCCTGGGGTTTTTATGGGCATAGTATGGACAGCAGGGTGAGCCATGGGTGGTTTTGGAAAAGGCAACATTTGAGTGGGAAAACAGGGATGGAAGTTCTCACTTTGGGCCGTGGCATCAGGCTTTTCGGCCTGATGGACCCGGCCTCTTCCTCCCAGAATTTCCCTGCCTCCTGTCCCTATCAATTCCACAATGTATATATATTTCAAAACATCATGTTGCATACAATAATTATATATGATTTTATCAATTTAGAAAAAATGCAGCTATAAGAAAATAATAAAATCAAGTAGGCAAATGCTACTATGGTGTGCTTTCATGTAAAAATCATAACTATGGCCGGGCGTGGTGGCTCAAGCCTGTAATCCCAGCACTTTGGGAGGCCGAGATGGGCGGATCACGAGGTCGGGAGATCGAGACCGTCCTGGCTAACACGGTGAAACCCCGTCTCTACTAAAAAAATACAAAAAACTAGCCGGGCGAGGTGGCGGGAGCCTGTAGTCCCAGCTACTCGGGAGGCTGAGGCAGGAGAATGGCGTGAACCCGGGAGGCGGAGCTTGCAGTGAGCTGAGATCCGGCCACTGCACTCCAGCCTGGGCGACAGAGCGAGACTCTGTCTCAAGAAAAAAAAAAAAAAAAAAAAGTCATAACTATTCCCTCTGAGGCGGTACTTGCTGAGTTAGAGTCATTGTATATTTTGACAAATATCCAAAAGACTGCACAGAGGTGTCTCTTCCCTGCCACCCCACAGCAGTCTTTGTAAGAGTCTTGTGATGATGATGTTGGTAATGACAATAGCTTTTATGCACCCAGCAGGAATTGTGTCCTGGGCCCTGTTATCTACCATTGTAACCACCCAGTGGGTTCTTCTTGCTGGCTACAAAAAACCACGGCATTGCAGTAAACAAAGTGTTTAACTGACACAGGGCCAGCCATGCCATGGGAGAACAGAGTTATTACTCAACTCGATCTCCCTGAAAATTTAGTGATCAGAGGTTTTTAGGGATAATTTGATGGGTGGGGGGACCAGGTAGTGGGGAGTGTTGATTAGTTGGGTTAGAGATGAAATCACAGGGAGTCGAAGTTGTCTAATTGCACGGAGTAAATTCCTGGGAGGGGACCACAGGACCAGATGACCCAGTTTATCAATCTGGGTGGTACTAGCTGATCCATCGAGTGCTGGGTCTGAAAAAATATCTCGAGCACCAATTTTAGGTTTTACAACAGTGATGTTATCCCCAGGAGCAATTGGGAAGGTTTAGAGTCTTGTGGCCCCTGGCCCCTGGCTGCATGACTCCTAAACCATAATCTCTAATCTTGTGGCTTTTGTTAATCCTACAAAGGCAGTCTGGTCCCCAGGCAAGAAGAGGGTTTGTTTCAGGAAAGGGCTGTTTTATTTATTTATTTATGTATTTATGTATTTATTTATGTATTTATGTATTTATTTATTTATTTAGAGACAGAGGGAGTCTGCTCTGTCCGCCTGGGCTGAAGGCGATCTTGGCTCACTGCAAACTCCGCCTCCCGGGTTCATGCCATTCTCTTGCCTCAGCCTCGAGTAGCTGGGACTACAGGCACCTGCCACCACACCTGGCTAAGTTTTTGTATTTTTAGTAGAGACGGGGTTTCACCGTGTTAGTCAGGATGGTCTCGATCTCCTGACCTCGTGATCCGCCCGCCTCGGCCTCCCAAAGTGCTAGGATTACAGGCGGAAGTACCGTGCCCGGCCTAGAGGGATACGGCTGTTATCTTTGTTTCAAAGTTAAACTATAAACTAAGTTTCTCCCAAAGTTAGTTAGGCCTATGCTCAGGAATGAACAAGGACAGCTTGGAGGTTAGAAGCAAGATGGAGTTTGTTAGGTCAGATCTCTCACTGTCATAATTTTCTCAGTTATAATTTTTGCAAAGGTGGTTTCACCATGCAACATGTAGTGTTATTTTTCCCATTTTATTTACTGGATTTCAATGAAAATCCCTGCTCTAAAGTTGGAGCCAGCATTGGAGTCCCCAGAGGGCTTGTTAAAACAGAGAAGGAAGCCTGGCACCGTGGTTCACGCCTGCAATCCCAATACTTTGGGAGGCCGAGGCGAGAGGATTGCTTGAACTCAAGAGTTTGAGACCAGCCTAGGCCACACAGTGAGATGCAGTCTCCATAAAAAATTTAAACATTAGCTGTGTATGATCGTGCGCGCCTGTAGTCCCATCTACCTGGTAGGCTGAGGCAGGAGGATACCTTGAGCCCGAGATGGAGGCTTCAGTGAGCTATGATCAGGCCACTGCACTCCAGCCTGGACAACAGAATGAGACCCATCCCCCACCTCCCCCTCCCCCAAAAGTAGAGAAGGCTGAATCCCATCCCCAGAATTTCTGAGACCTTAGATTAAGTTGTTGCCCCAGAACTTGCATTTTCAGCCAGTCCCCAGGTGATGCGGCTGTTGCTGGTTTGAGAAGCCCTGAACGAGAGCGACATTTAATATTACTAAGCAAAGACCCCGCCCATTGGGTACTATCCCCATTTCCAGTGTGAATTTAAGTCTTTTAGGGGTGAAGCGGCTTGCCGATGCCCACACGCGCAGGAAGAGCACGGCCTGGGCCTTTGGTGGGCGGGGTTTAGCGCTGGCGGCCGCAGGCTCGGGAGCGGCCCCTTTAAGGGGAAGGCCCGAGGGCTGCAGGCGGCGGCAGTGGAGACCCGGCAAGGTCCGTTCTCCTTCCGGTCCTGGATCCCCAGCCTGACGAGAGGTTGGGCAGAAACTCGCGATCCCCAGACCCTGCCTGTGCACCGGCGGCTGGCGCCAGGCCAATGACAGTCTGGGAGAGCGCGACTCTCCCGACCGCCTGGGTGGGGGCCGGAACTTCCTGTGCTGCAGCCTCGCAGGTCATTTCCCGGCGGGGAGGCTGAGTCCTAAGCAGCTGGGGACCCCGGGCCGGGGGCGGGGCGGGTGCGGCTGCGCCCTTGAAGCTGCTGCGCCGGCTTTCCCGGACCGTGCCGGGGACAGTGAGGCCGGGGACCCCCTCTGCGCCTTTGCACCAGCCGTGACCCCTTGCAACGGGGGTGCCCGGCGGAGCTGCGCGCTCTCAGCGCCCCCAGAGCCTGCGCCCCGGGCGCCGCGCGCATTTTGCACGGGGGAGACTGAGGCTAGGAGTGCGACCCTCAACCCGGGGTCACACCTCGCCTGGGGCACGGCCAGGGGGGTGGTAGCCTGAGGCTGCGAGACCCCCTTCTCCCGCCCCGTGGTCGCCCGCACCGTGGGGCCCTGCTCTGACCACAGACTCCGATGGCGGAGGCGGCCCTGCGGGATCCCGCGCAGGTGAGTGCTTGGGCGTTAGGCCCTCCGCTGTCGGCCCCCCACCCTCCTGTTCCCGGCGTTGAGACGCAAAAGATGGCTTTGTTCTAGGACTTTTCACCTTTTCCATTTCCTTGCTTTTGAGTCAGGGGACCCTGGAAGGGAGTCGTTCCCAGCTAGGATCCTGAATCAGGGCAGGGTTTATATAGAGTGGCTTCCGTTTCTGAAATGTAATGGGGATGAAGGGAGAAAGGGCTTTGTAGGCACAGGAACCAGCATACGCAAAAGCTTGGGGGGTGGGGTTGGGCACGGTGTGAAGACTGAGTTGGGAGTGTTCAAGGAACCCCACCCAGCTCACTGTTATGTCTGCTGGAACCAGAGAGCAGGTGGGCTGAAGACCTGGGCCTCTGTTTTGAGGGTGTTGGGAGCCATGGAAGGTTTAGGGCAGAGGAGGAAGATGTTGTGACTCAGGTCTTAACAGGCTCCCTGTGGATGCAGAGTGGAGAACTGCATGGGGGTGGGCCGGAGGCGGGGAAGCCAAGGAGTAGCCTAATGGAATAGCCCAGGCCAGTGCTGCTGCTGTCCGGACCAGAGTGGGGACTGGAGGTAGAGGACGTGATTGGGTACTTGATGCCTTTTAAGTCAAGCTGAACAAATTTTCCGATGTGGAGGGTGAAAAAGACGAGAGAAGAATCCATAGTTTTTGGTTTGGTGAATCCAGCTTCATGAACTGAGAAGTTGGTTGTGGGAGGAATTTTCCGTGAAAGCGGTAGAAGTTAGGTTTCGGCCAGGTTGAGCCTGTGATTTCCCAGAGACTCCCAAATGGAGTTGAAGAGTGGGCAGCTAAACACACAGGGTGTTCTGAGGGAGTTGTTAAGGTTATGAGAGACTGGATATTCATGAGAACAATGGCCAGATGATGTGTACAAATAGAACTCTGCCCCAGAACCTGCCCAGGAAACCAACCCCCTTATCTACAATAAACAACCCATACAGCAGGAAGCCAGCCTGCTGTCTGTCAAACCCACAGGAAGCCAGATTGCTATCTGAACTGACAATCCAGGAAGTTAAAACACTAACTTCTGTAATGAGCAGTCCCAAATGGCCAGGGTTTGATTAATCACAGACAGCTTTCCTAATGTTTGCTCCTGCTTCTGATTTAAGACCAGCCAGAGAAAGGCAGATACGCACCCTAACCAATCACGTAGGATGCCCACTTCCAGTTCACCCACCTACGAACAGGAGCCTCCAACCAGGGCATGCCTGAAGCCTTCCTTTTCTTTCGCTATAAAACTTTCCCACTCCCAGCTTGCGTTGAGTCTCTCTTGCTTTGAGTAAGTAGCCTTGGCTTTTCTCATTTCATTGGTCTTTGTTTATTTCAACTGTTAGAAACATCCAAAATGTGCCATCTGGTGTGTGGACGGGAGCGTAGCTGTGTGTCAGATTTAGGAGGTGAAACTTCAGGTCATGGTGACAATGATGTTAAAAAAAAAGAGGAAGGTGGGGCTGGAAAACTGAGAGCAGGGTTCTTGCTTGGGGACCGTGGCCTGTTTGGCATCATAAAGACAGGTGAGGAACAGTAGTGATCATGGTGGTGGTGGGGGGGCTCTGTGTGGGTGTATCAGAGGGTCTGGCAGGTGGCCAGATCATCCCAAAGAGTGTAGACGTGAATGAGATGGATGCTGAGGCTTAGCAGTAGAGGAGGTAATATTGCAGTGAGGCCTGGGCTGGTGCTTACACACTCACCTATGTTCTCACCAGGCTTCTGTGGTGACCCTTCGTGGGGTTTGTCCTCAGGCTGGGGAATTAACTCGGGGCAAGAGGGGTCAATTGGCAGAGTTTCTGGCCTTGGGTGGGGGTAGGATGGCCAGAGAGGTTGGCTTTTTTTTTTTCTTTTTTCAGTAAGTGTGAGTGATGACACGGTCAGAATGTGCAACAAAGAAGGCCAAGGGTATGTGACATCCATGTGTGCCGTGGGTGGCTTAGGTTGAAGCCAGGCCAGGGGAGCTGGGGGGCTCCAAGGCAAGGGTGGAGCACTCCCTCTCCCTGTTACCTGGGTGTTGCCCTTGGCAGTGGAGGCCATCAAAGATCTGGGGCAGGCTGGGATGGTGGCCGTGTTTGCCAGGTACTCTCTGGATGCTGTGTGCAGAGTGACACATGGGAGCCCGTGGAGATGGCTATGATAGGGACCAGGATGGGGAGAGGGTGGCAGTGGCAATGGGAGGCCGTGGTGAGGTCTGGAGCTGTGAGGATGGTGCAGTCCAGAGTGAAATGCACGTGGGAGGGAGTGTGAGCTGTTTACCCCAGGGCTCTGGACTGGGGTTTAAGGGAGAGAAGTCCACATCTGTATCTGAGAAGTGTGACACTGGTGACACTAGGGGAAGAGGCTCCCAGAAGAGGGAGTTGGGCCATGGACTTCAGGCCCAGAGCTTGGAGGGAGCCTCTCTGTCCCCTGCCTGTTGCTGCTCTGGGCTGACACAGTGGTCACATGAGGTGCCCACAGAACTAGGGCCTACTGCCTCCTGGAGCTGTGGAGCTGGGGAGGAGAGTGAGCAGGGGGTGGACAGCGAGTCCCAAGGACAGAGACTGATCATGGAACAAACTGTCCCCATCATGGCAGGGCTGCGTGACCTTTGAGGACGTGACGATTTACTTCTCCCAGGAGGAGTGGGGGCTCCTCGATGAGGCTCAGAGACTCCTGTACTGCGATGTGATGCTGGAAAACTTTGCACTTATAGCCTCGCTGGGTAAGGCTGTCACCCCTACCCTGGTGTCCCGAGCTCATCTCTGCCTGTCCCCTTTGCCCAAGAAACGGCTCTTTCCTTCCCACAGCCAGACCACTGGCACTGCTTCCATCCCCCCTTTCCTGGTATGTGTGTTGTGGCTTCTGGGGCTAAGCTATGTACATTGTTCCTTCCTCTCCCTGAGCAGCCCCCACACCTGCTGCCTGAAGCCTTGCAGGGAAGCTCCAGGCATGAGGGGTCTTGCAGTCAGCTGCGTGACTCCCTCTGACTTGGCCATTCCCTCCTGGGTGACTATCCAGATCTGACAGTTCTGTGGTTTAATTTTTTTTTTTTTTTTTGAGACGGAGTCTCGCTCTGTCATCCAGGCTGGAGTGCACTGGCCGGATCTCAGCTCACTGCAAGCTCCGCCTCCCAGGTTTACGCCATTCTCCTGCCTCAGCCTCCCGAGTAGCTGGGACTACAGGCTCCCGCCACCTCGCCCGGCTAGTTTTTTGTATTTGTATTTTTTAGTAGAGACGGGGTTTCACCGTGTTAGCCAGGATGGTCTCAATCTCCTGACCTAGTGATCTGCCCGTCTCGGCCTCCCAAAGTGCTGGGATTAAAGGCTTGAGCCACCGCGCCCGGCCAGTTCTGTGGTTTAAATTCTGTGCCTTTCCTCTTGCTAATATTTCCTTAGCCAGACTGTGCCAGGAATTCCAATCACTGATGTGGTTACCTCTTGCCATGACCACCCGATGTCCCTGTGTCATACGGAGTTTCCTGTCCTGTAGTCTGTCATGGGGTAGTTCCAACTGGGCAGGTGCTGGCCACTCACCCACTCTGTCTTTCCCTTAGGACTTATATCTTTCAGGTCCCACATCGTTTCCCAGCTGGAGATGGGGAAAGAGCCCTGGGTGCCTGACAGTGTGGATATGACTTCAGCCATGGCCAGAGGGGCTTATGGCAGGCCTGGTTCTGGTAAGCAGTGACGGGAGCTGGGGGAGGATGTGACACCACCACTGTGTTTACATCATACCAGCATCTTCTCTCCTATTCATCATCATTTGATACCAAAGCCAGTAGCCAGACCACATCTCTGCTTTTCCTTCCCCGTGCTTGACACATTATCCACTTACCATTGCTATTCTGAGTTGGGCCTCTTGCCTATGCCCCACCTTTCTGGCCTCCGTTTCTCTCTTTCAGCTTCCTCTGCAGCACTTTCCAACACTGGCCTACGCTTAATATGTTGTGAGGTACATGCTTTTCCTTGATGTGCTTGAACACCAGCTACTCAGTTGCAGGTTTTACTGGGTCTAGATGCTCGCACTGCATAGCCCTCACAGGTTACCAGCAGCCCAGGCCCTGCCAAAAGGCCTTTAAAGAGACGTGAGTGGGAGACCTTGCCTTTCTGCCCAATACTTTCTGCCATCCTTGTGTCTCTGGTCCTGATAAGGCCTCCTGTATTTTGTGACCTGGCCAGGCACAGTATGGCAGAGCAGATTATTCCTTACCCTGACCTGAGCCTTCTTGTGTTGCCAACAATCCCATGGACTCATTCTTGGGTCAGCCAAACATAGGTGATGGGGGTCTTTCCTTCTATTAAAGTTTATACGAACTTCACTAGCATTTCTCTGCTTTCAGATTTTTGCCGTGGAACAGAGGGCAAGGACTTACCTTCTGAGCATAATGTTTCTGTAGAAGGAGTGGCACAGGACAGGAGTCCCGAGGCAACTCTGTGCCCCCAGAAGACCTGCCCCTGTGACATATGTGGCCTACGTTTGAAAGATATTTTGCATTTGGCTGAACACCAGACAACACATCCCAGGCAGAAACCATTTCTGTGTGAGGCATATGTGAAAGGCTCCGAGTTCAGTGCAAACCTTCCCCAGAGGCAGGTGCAGCAGAACGTACACAACCCTATCAGAAGGGAGGAGGACCAGGCTTTGCCTATAAAGACCTGGGGAGACCACACATCAGATCAGCTTTCCACCTGCAGGGAGGGCGGGGAGGACTTTGTGGCCACAGCAGGGTTTCTGCAGCGTGAGGTCACTCCCAGCAATGGGGAGCCGCACAAGGCCACCGAAAGTATGGTGGATTTTCACATTGCACTAAGGCATAACAAGTGCTGTGACTCTGGGGATGCCTTCAGTGACAAATCCACTCTTGTTCAGCACCAGAGAATCCACAGCAGAGAAAGGCCTTATGAATGCAGCAAATGTGGAATCTTCTTCACTTACGCCGCTGACCTCACTCAGCACCAGAAAGTTCACAATAGAGGAAAACCGTATGAGTGCTGCGAATGTGGGAAATTTTTCAGCCAGCACTCTAGCCTTGTTAAACATCGCAGGGTTCACACTGGTGAAAGCCCTCACGTGTGCGGTGACTGTGGGAAATTCTTCAGCCGAAGCTCCAACCTCATTCAGCATAAGAGGGTTCACACTGGTGAAAAGCCATATGAGTGCAGTGACTGTGGGAAGTTCTTCAGCCAGCGTTCCAACCTCATTCATCATAAGAGGGTTCATACGGGCAGAAGTGCCCATGAGTGCAGTGAATGTGGGAAATCCTTCAACTGCAACTCCAGCCTAATTAAACATTGGAGAGTTCACACTGGAGAAAGACCTTACAAGTGCAATGAATGTGGGAAATTCTTCAGCCACATCGCCAGCCTCATTCAACATCAGATAGTTCACACTGGTGAGCGGCCTCATGGGTGTGGTGAGTGTGGGAAAGCCTTCAGCCGAAGCTCTGACCTCATGAAACATCAGCGAGTTCACACTGGTGAACGGCCTTATGAGTGCAGTGAATGTGGGAAGTTGTTTAGCCAGAGCTCCAGCCTCAATAGCCATCGGAGACTTCACACTGGCGAACGGCCTTACCAGTGCAGTGAATGTGGGAAATTCTTCAACCAAAGCTCCAGCCTCCATAACCACCGGAGACTTCACACTGGCGAGCGGCCTTATGAGTGCAGCGAATGTGGGAAAACCTTCAGGCAGAGGTCCAATCTGAGGCAGCACCTGAAAGTTCACAAACCAGATAGGCCTTATGAATGCAGCGAATGTGGGAAAGCCTTCAACCAAAGGCCTACCCTCATTCGGCATCAGAAGATTCATACCAGAGAAAGGAGCATGGAGAATGTGCTCCTTCCCTGTTCAATGCAACAGCACACCCCAGAGATAAGCTCTGAGAACAGACCTTATGAGGGTGCTGTCAACTACAAGTTGAACTTTGTTCATCCAAGCACCCACCCTGGGGAGGTTCCCTAGGAATGCTAGCTCTGTTGGAAGCTTTCTGGGGACAAGTTACATTCTCTTACCATGGATTTTATCAGCGTTTTTTCACTGCTGGGGTTGTGATAGAAGCCATGTCAGCACCACACACTGCAGCTCTCTAGAGAATGTGTCCACCACTCCACTGTGCTCAGGGAAGGCAGACCTCTCCTCTCTCTTTCCAATCCCTAAAGGGAATAAGGAGTAGTCTGAAGTCGTGGGAAGATGTCATTCCCGCCCTGTGTGGCTGGTTTAGCTGTGGACATGACCAGCCTGTGGCTGTGAAGTCCTGAGCAGGGTTTTGCTGACAGCTTGTCCTAGAGAAGGTTTCCCTTTTTCTGGGACATTGTTGGTCTCATGCCTGTGAAGGATTTGTCCAGCCTTCATGTTACTCTGTACAACAACTTATCTCCTGTGCATTGCCCTGGTTCATGCGATGATAACGGCCTTATGATAAAGCCGCCTTTAATCTTCCATGTTCTGATCACTGTGTGGGGTGGTTCAAGAACAGAGTTAAGATCTACCAGACTGAAGGGGTCTCCAGATTATCTTGGAGGGGACAGGTGGATGACAGAGAACAACTGTCAATCCAGACTTGGCCTCATTTGCATTGCCACCAAGGCCTCCTAGGAAAAAGTGTAGGAATTTATGGGTGTAATATTGTAGTCTGAATGGCATGAATCTGCCCCGAGGAGGGGGCAGGTGTGACAAACCCTAGTGCATGTGGGAACAGCGTGAATTGGGTCCCTTATTCCCAGGGGGTGCTCCATATTCCCCAACACTGTAAAGCAGATGCTGTTTAGCACCTGCCAAGGAGCCTTATGCCCTGAAGTTCAGCCTTAGGCAGGTATCTCTTAACTGTAAGACATACCAGGCCCAGTTGGGACCATAATTTGTACAGAAACACTGGATGTGATTAATAGGGAATAGGCGAGATTATAGCAAACCAGCAGAAATAGACCTGTTCTAAAGGTGCATCCATGAATGCTCCCTTGAATGTGGCTGTGCAGGATTCAGGGTTTGCAGAAATTCTCAGGACCTCTAGACCTCTGTCCTATGACTAATGTTACTGGCAGAGCAAATAATCTAAAGGTTTTGGTTTTGTGGGTTACCATCTCTGTGCTGTGCATCTCAAGGCCAGTGCTGTGCTAGCAGGAAAATAGGGACTGAGAAAAAAGCAGATCCTATACTACAGGGATTGTAGCATCTATGACATAGCCAGCCATTCTTTGCTCCCAAGGCAAGAAGAGAGATGGCAGAGTCAATATAGGGTTGCCAAATTGGATTTTCTAAAATGAGTAGGAGGTTGGATTTTTATGTGCAACAGTTTGTTTTAATGCTTTGTTGATACGTAATTGTCATGCAATAATTATACATATTTGTTAAGTTTTGTACATTTATTATGTACACTCAGGGAACCAATACCATAATCATGATAATGAACGTATCCATCACCTGCAGAGCTACCTCATGCCCCTTTACAGTCCCTCCTTGCCTTCCCCAGGAAACCATTGATTTACATTTTTTACTTTAGATTTGTTTGCCTTTTCTAGAATTAACACAATTGGAATCATAAAGTATTTATACTCTTTTTTTGGTCTGGTTTCTTTCATGCAGCGTAATTATCTTGAGAATCATCCATGCTGTGTGTATATATAGTTCATTCCTTTTACTACTGAGTAGTGCTATTCTGGGTGAGTGCACCATAGTTTTTTATGATTTATTTAAAAACGTTAAAAAAAATCTGATGAAATACACTTAACATGAAATTTACTATCCTAACCATTTTTAGTGTATACTTCAATGGTATTAAGTAGATTTGTATTGTTGTGCAACCATCGCCACCCTTTGTCTCCAGAACTCTTCAATCTTGCAAAACTGAAATTCTGTACTCATCAAGCAATAACTGCCCATTCTCCCTTCCCCAGCCCCTCAAAACCACCATTCTACTTTTTGTCTGTATGAATTTGACCACTCTAGGTACCTCATATAAGTAGAATAATAAGTATTTTTCTTTTTGTAACTAGCTTATTTCACACTTAGCATAATATCCTCAAGGTTCATCAATGTTGGAGCATATGTTAGAATTTCCTTTTTAAGGCTGATTAGTATTTCCTTGTATATGCTGCATTTTGCTTATCTATCATGTGTCAATGGATGCTTGGGTTGCCTCCACCTTTCACCTATTGCAAATATTGCTGCTTCAAACATGAGTGCACAAATATCTCTTCAAGACCCTGCTTTCAACTCTTTTGGGTATGTCCTCAGAAGTAGAATTACTAGATGATATAGTAAATCTATTTTTAGTTTTTTGAGGACTTGCCATACACTGTTTTCCACAGAGCTGCACCCTTTCACATTCTTACCAACAGTAAACAAAGTTTTAAATTTTTCAGGGCCAGGCGCAGTGGTTCACGCTTGTAATCCCAGCACTTTGGGAGGCCGAGGTGGGTGGATCATGAGGTCAGGAGATCGAGATCATCCTGGCTAACATGGTGAAACCCCGTCTCTACTAAAAATACAAAAAATTAGCTGGATGTGGTGGTGGGCACCTGTAGTCCCAGCTACTTGGGAGGCTGAGGCAGGAGAATGGTGTGAACCTGGGAGGCGGAGCTTGCGGTGAGCCGAGATCATGCCACTGCACTCCAGCCTGGGCAGCAGAGCGAGATTCCCTCTCAAAAAAAAAAAAAAAAAAATTTTTTTTCTACATCCTCACCAGCACTTGTTTTTGTTTTTGTTTTTGGTGATAGCCATTCTAATGGGTGTGAAGTAGTGTCTCATTTGATATGCTTTCCCTAATGATTTGTGACTTTAAGTATCATTTCATGTGCTTACTGGCCATTTGTATATCTTTGGAGAAATTTCTTTTTTTTTTTTTTTTTTTGAGACGGAGTCTCGCGGGATCTCACGAGTCCAGGAGATCGAGACCACTCCTGACTAACACAGTGAAAACCCCGTTCTCTAGCTAGAAAATGCAGAAAAACTAGCCCGGGGTGGAGGTGGCGGGCGGCCTGGTAGTGCCACAGCTATCGGGAGGCTGAGGCAGGAGAATGGGCCGTAAAACCTTCGGGAGGCGGGGCTTGCACGTGAGCCTGAGATCGGCCACGTGCACTCCAGCCCCTGGGGCGACAGAGCGAGACTGCCGTCTCCAAAAAAAAAAAAAAAAAAAAAAAAAGAAATGTTTT